CCTCCCACTGGGGTGGGGGAGGGGGGAAGGGAAGGCATTGGTGGCGGGAACGAAGCCACCCCTTCGGATAGGAGCCTAGGGTTCGGTAATGGCCATTATTGGGCCCTTCAGAAGGTACGAAGAAGAACAGGAGGGCTCAGGTCCTGTGGCGGTGGCCCTCGTTGTTTACCCAACGCAAGCTTCTGTTTCTTTACTCCCTCGCTTTTTTTCCCTGTCAAATTTTATCCTGTGTAAGCCTTTGGCCAGCAGGAGATGAAAACTAAGAGGGCTTGTGGTTACGCCTGCTTACATTTTATCATGTTTTCATTGCATGTTGTGCAACCTGCTTTTTTATATGTACATGTATATGTGCATATATATATATGTGTGTGTGTGTATGTGTGTGTATAAAATATAATATATATATAAAAAGCAGGTTGCACAACATGCAACGAAAACAACATGATAACAACATGAGATACAGTACTGTATATATATATCCTGCTGGCCAAAGGCTTACAGGGTGTATGTATGTATGTGTGTGTGTGTGTGTGTGTGTATATATATATATATATATAGATAGATAGATAGATAGATAGATAGATAGATAGATAGATATAGATATATAGATATAGATATAGATATAGATATAGATATCTTAATTGAGTGATGTGGTGTAAAATATATATATAACATATATATGTACATATAGATATCTTAATTGAGTGATGCGGTGTAAAAGTATTAATAAAGTATTTTTCCAAAAACTGGCCATGGGTTTAATGCAAAAATAATTGCTAAAGAGGGAAGTGAAGGCAGAGGGTGAGGTGGTATCACAGAGATGTTCAGGAAATTGTTTCTGGGACCGATGTGTTGGTTAACCTCCATTGGTGTTTTCTAGACTTTTCTTTATTATTTGTATTTCCCAAAACTCTTGAAGTGAACCCAAACCAATAAACTATTTTCACAAGCTGTCAAGTGTGCATTAAGTGGAATTTAAAAAAAAAGTAGAATGATAAGAAGTAGAATACAAAAACACATTTATTTAAGAGGTTTTTCCACATGTGGAATTAAAGGGCTCCCTTTGAATCACTTGTATGCTTGCATTAATGCTTAACTGGGACTGAACGGCAGACAAATCTGTATTAAAAGCAAACTACCAATGTGAGTAGGCAGGAAGTGGACAGAAAGTCTGTATGTTTTAAGGACTTCTAGCAGGTTGAGAGCATTTTCTGTGTTCTTGCATTGCAGGGTTTCCCTTCCTTTCAGGACTCTTGTCATTATATGCTGTGAAGGATTTGTCCACTGTAATAGTATTTCCAAAGATTGTGCTTCACTCTTTTTTCTTGTGTGGAAGAAAGTAAAGGCTTGCAGGCAGGATTTAGTGAGGTCTCAAGTAAATTCAGACACTAGAATACCATCTAATTTTGCGTTGGCGAAATTAAGTATCAGATATACTAGTTCATGGTCACAGTAACAGAACAGTAGTATAGATTGTGGACACATAGGTGTCATGAAGAAGAATGTCATGCCCCAGTACAATTAAAAAGAAAAGAAAAAGTGATTCTGCATGTATCTTTAACAGAAAAAAGAAGAGGGAATGTGTGCCAATTCAGCTTTTCATGCAATGGTAAGAAAAGTTGGAAGTTTTCTCTTTTTCACAGGTGTTAAGGACAAAAAGGCATGGGCCCCAACCTTTCCATCTGTGAGATCTGTAATGATAAGCAATAGAAGTCATGACCAACATTATTGCTTTGTACATGATGTGTTGCATAGCTTGTTGATTTTTAAGAGACTGATAGTTTCTCTGTTGTATAACTCAGTCTATGGCAGGGTTGAGGGCTGGCATGAGATAGCACAGCTTCAGTAAGCAAACTGGCTCCCAGAAATTTGCATTACTGTATTGTACTATGCAGTGGTGAAGTACACATTTTGCCAGATTAGTAGGCAAACTGACACTGGCTAAACAAAGTCAGCAACAATCCCCATCTATACTGTTCCATGGGATACGTTGGGAGAGCACTGGAAGACATTCAGGATTCAAATGGAGATGATGGTTGAACTGTGGTATTTTATGCACAGATTTGTGAAAAGTCCTAATCCATATTAGCACTTGTGGGCATCAAATTGGGTGCTAGTCTCCATTGTTAATGCTGCATATGATAGTAGGAACATGTATGTATTGTGAATAATATATGTTTAAAAGGCAGGGACACTGTTACTTTTGCATGTTTTTTAATGCATTGATTGTTCCATCAAATTGGGTGCTAGTCTCCATTATTAATGCTGCATATGATAGTAAGAACATGTATGTATTGTGAATAATATATGCTCAAAAGGCAGGGACACTATTACATTTTGCATGTTTTTTAATGCATTGATTGTTGTCCATCTGATTCTTGTAATTGAGGAGAGACTTTTTCTGAATACTGTAAAGCAGTTGTGCTCTGATACTAGCTAGTCATGCTCTGTCTTTCTGTGTCCTTTGTGATGCAACAATATATGTGTGATTGTGGCGAATAGCTCTAATGCCATATCTTTCTCTCCTGCATCTTCTCATAATATGTTGCTTATAACATGCCTTAATTATTTCCATCTGTAACCGAAATCTCAAAGACTTGGAATAGTAACACCATTTGAAGCAAGATCACTTTTAAAAAAAGAAGGAAAATTAAATGTCTCCAGCAGACTCTATACTTTTCTGTACAATAGAATGCTCATGCCATTTTAGTCTGGCCTTTACATCAACCTGAAAAGATTTTTTCAGTGCTTCTGAAAGTTAGGCTGCATTATTGCATGATGTAAATGCAGTTGCTTACTCTCTTTCTCTCTTCATTTTCCATCAGCGTGGCCTGTGAGAAAATAGGATCTAACACATACTCTATTCCATGAACCTCACTTGTGCACTCTTTATCTTGTGGAACTGGCCAGCTGAGCTGTCACTCTGACAGCTGATTCAGGGCCATAGTTATCCAAAACTCCACACAATGCAGAGCACCATAAGGTAAGCATTGCTGGCAATTCTGAGATTTGTATATAGGTCCATGTGCATATATGTGTGTGTGCATACATTTAAAACTGGATGATTGTTTTTCTTCTGATGCCTAAAACATTGACAACTTCAGAGGAAGACCTTTGCTTATGAAATAATAATTTCTTCAGGTAAACAGTGCAGTTGAATAAATTGTTACACGAAGGATTTTATAGCTTTCCAATATTTTTGTAAACTAACAATAGAACTTTATTTACATTATGTACAAATATAATTCAAGCAAGAAATGCAAAACATAAAATGCTAATATAACACAGTGTTATGCTTCCAAAGAAGACTAGTCATTTCTATGGCATATTCATCTATTTGCAGCAGAGAAGCTGCAGTTTTGGAGGCAGAGGCTGGGGACCCTTTTTTTCAGCTGAGAACAGCATTCTCTGGGGATATTCTGTCCAGATTTATGCCAATGGATGGAACTGAAAATAGCAGTTGAAGGGCCAGGGTCAAAAGTGGGCAGGCACCCCTTTTTTTCTACACTTGTCTCTTTGCTCCCTCCCTCCTTCCCAAACAGCAGGCTGCCAAAGGAGAGATTTTTTTCCCCTTTGGAAAGGGCTGTAAAATGCAAATTTGCACATCTTCGTTCCCAAACAGTTGCATTATTAGTACCTGGTGTTCTAAAGGAGCAATAGTCTTCTCTTGGTGCATAAACTATGGTGAATGTTGCAATCATGAATAAAGGAGAACAATATAACCATGTATGCTTATGTTTTGGCAGATCATTTTTTCAACCTCTGGCACGCAAAAAGGTTGAAGAACAGATAGAAGAGAATAGTCACGTGGAGAAGGTGCCCAGTCCAAAAAAGTGAGCTACTGTGAAGCTTGTAGTAGACTATAGATGAATTACAAGATTCTGAATATATTCAACATTTGTTGAAGTGATCTGTGGTATATACAGTAAGCTGCTCTGATTTTTGTTCTGAAATCTTGGATTAAACGTATTTGAACAGAATGATTTGGAAAGACAACATTGATTGAGTTCATCCCACGTTAGAAAGTTTTGTCTCTGAAAGGCTCAGTGACCAGGTTATGCGTTTATGCTCAGAAGCTGTCACTGGAAGATAGTATAGAATCATTCTTTAACTTTTATTTTCTCGCCCATTCATTTTCCTAGCTAGATTAATTGAAAGCATTAATTTTGCATTGACATTAGAGCAGTCTCTCTAGTGTTGCGAAGAAATTGCAGATAAAATTGAGAAAAGGCTCTTTGGAAACATCAAGCAAAATTACAGAAGCAGACAAATGTGCCATACTCTATTTAAATAAGGTCAAAAATAATAGTGTAGGTTATAATATTGGTTTTAACTCAGGTTATAAACATACATTAAACTACTGAAAAATATTGATGTGTGAGGATACATCATTATAAGGCTGAGAAATAGTGTAATATCCAAACCCTCTCAAATGTTCATAAGGAGCTGCATGTGATGGAGTAATTCACCACTGTCACTTTCCACTGAACTTCTGTGACTGAGGAAGGATTTGAACCCAGGTCATCTGAACACTAGTCCCAACAATCCATTTACTACACAACACTGTCTCTGGTGTTGTTGTGGAAAGAGACATCTCAATTGTTTGTAGTTTCTGGGTTTACTGTTTTTAGCATGTAGAAACAGTAAACAGTGTTTACTGTTGTTTTAACATACAGGAATTACTAGTTAATAAGGTCAAATATTCAATTTTTCATTTTGTGCAGGTTGTATAACAAGAATTCTCTGCTCTTTTATGTGCCTGAAACAGATTTACTGATAGGCTATCTCTGTTGATGCTTGACATATCCTGCTCTCTTTTGATGGCTTATGAAAACTAAAATAGAATTTAGATTCTATTTAGATCTTATTTATTTATTTATTTATTTATTTATTTATATCCCGCCTATCTAGTCTTGCAACCACTCTAGGCGGCTTAAAAACACATGAAACAACAAATAGATCCCTGAAGAATTTGCTCAGGGATGGGTTATAGGGCAGTCAATTTGTTTTATTGGTTAGGCTATTGTACAAGAAGATTGTAGTTCAGATGTTTACAGTTCTTATTTTTAAAGTTCATAAGATAATTTTGACCCATCATTATCTAGCAACCTGACCTGCCTTACAGGGTGCTTGTGAAAATAGAATTTTAGAGGAGAACGCCATGGTAACTGTTTTGAGAGTTTAGGAAGAAAGGTGAAATATAAATATAAATTTTAAGAGTTTAGGAAGAAAGGTGAAATATAATAAGTCTTAAGGCGGGGTCCAGGTTGATCTGTTGCTATGTTACTAAGTATTCTGTCTCTTTTGAGGAAACCAGTAAATTCTGAACAACTGATAAATAGTAGAGCACCTTGTACAGAGAATTCTACAGCCAAAAAAGCTTCCCAGATACTTAATAGTGGAGATGAAGTGAATCCTCAGAAATCAGAAAGGAAGAATACAAAGACTGGGGATAGCAAGCAGGTAGGCCCTGTCATGTCATTTTCTGATATTTGATTAATTAGTGATACTGTGTTCCAAACCCCATCAAGGTTCTCTCATTGCACACCTGATCCTCAGATATCATTTTGCTTCTCATTGACATACTCTATTTAGACTCTCCTGTTTCAGGTATGAATAGAAAACACCAACATTACTGTGTTCCCTTATTTTTCTGGAAAACATTTCAGATACCTGTTGTAGTATTTCTGTCCTTTGAAAAATATGTTATTCTCACAGGGTTTTCTTGTTCTGTCCAATGTCAAGAAAACAGTTGTGGTTATTCTTTCTGTATCATACACCATTTCACTTTGTTTTTTCCCCTTTTTTAGGAATCTGTCTGTGTCACTGAGCAAATAAACCCTGCAGAGAATATCTCCCCAAGCACCAGCCCAGCTGCCTCTAATTCACCCTCACCTACCAGTATCCCACGGCGAAAAACTGGTAAGTACTCCTTTGATAATAGAATAGCCAAGAATGTTTATTGTTCTGTCTCTTCTTACAAGTGAGCACATAGTGAGATACTGAGCTAAAGCTTATGTTGCAAGTTTGATCTTTTCTTCTATAGAAATTAATTATTTGCTTTAGCTTTTATTTTACTCTTAATCTATCTGAACCTTGTATTAGCCCACAACTGTGTGTGGCCTTATGATATGTGTAGGTAGGACAGTTTGATCCTGAGATTACTTAAATGTAGCAGACTGTGTCCAAAAGAACTCTTGCTGTCATGCATATGAAAGCTTTGTAACTGTTAAGAAAAGTGTCATGCTGGTATAATTGCCCTTAAGACTTATCTCAAACTTTAGCCCGCAAGCAGATCCCCAAACGGAAAGCAGAAGAAGAAGTCAACAGCCATGATAGCTCCCAGGATAATGGTAGTGCCAAGAGGCGGAAGGGAGATGATAATGATGGAGATGGTGAGCATTTTTTGATTTCTTATTGTGTATCAGACTGGAGAAAGGCTAAAACAAATTATGAGGAAACAATGACATGGAAGTGAACAAGGAATGTAGGAGAATCAGAACAGGTGTGGGAAATAACTTTTTTCTTCCTAATTGAAAATCTAGCCCCTTTCCAGACTAAACACTGTGAGAATATTGATGAAATGAGAGTTCATTATTTGAAAAGCTGGACTTTAAACTTCAGTTCTCAGTGCTTTAACTTGGGAGTAAGCCTCATTGAATCAAATGGGACAAGTCCATATAAGTATGTGAAGAATGGCACAGCTAGAGTCTCAGTCTTGTATGCCTCTCATTCATTGAATTTGGATTGCCTTCAGTTCTTCTGGGTGTTTTGGACTCAACTGTTCCCCATACTCTTGCCTCACTGACAGATCTGAAGGCACCTAGGCTTTCACTGGGGTATTGGGGAGGGGAAAAACATATTTCTTTTATTCCAGTTTTGAGTTGGAACAGTTTTATTCAGCGAAGATTCAGTATCAGTCTTCTCAAAATCTGCTTGTACCCTGTACAGGATCAAAAGAGGAGCCAGATGAGAGGCCCATGGACTTAGATGTGAAAGATGAGAAAGATAAAAATTCAGAACTGGGAGAGCATGAGACAGAAACCAAAACAGAGGAAGAGAAGATGATGGAACTCCATAAGCCATCCAGCAAACCCATATCTAGTTTTTTTGGTGAGCATGTTAAGGGGAGAGGGATATACTGCTATTTATTTAACAGAAGGACATACAACCCTAGCAGATGAGGGTGGGGGCAGATTTTCACACCCAGCAGCTACCATAGGCTTCACCAGCTCAAGAAATAAGAAAACACATCCAAAAATTATCCATCCATTCAAAACTGTAAGTCTGGATGTTTATCTCCAGTTTAGATTGGGGGGTGGGGTGGCCAAACCACCAATAGAAAAGCATATTTTTCTAAAGTGGTGTAGATGGACATTGGGAGGTCCTTGATGGTGCAATATTGACCATGAACTATATTTTGCACACGGATGATCTAACGTATCACCGCCAAGAGTGCTGAGCACAGACATGTTCACAAGCTGCACTTGTTTGATTTGGACCTGAAAACATCTCAGTTTGCTTAAAAATATTTTTAGTACATATGAATGGAAATTGGTAAATGTATATTCAGTATGGGTCAGGGGATTTGCTGTTGAAAGAGAGGATACCTTATGTGTTAAGTATGCCAGAATTTAACAAGAGCAAATGCTGGGAGGTCACTATGCCAAGCAGTGAGTCTGGTAGGGTTGACGTTGTATTTCTCCCTTCAAAAACTGAATTAGTGTTTAAGAGTTTGACTCCAGAGCACAGTGTATTCAGAGTCTTATAGTTTATCTCAGTATCTCTGAATTTGCAACAATTCTCATACATTAACTTATACTCCAAACTAATTGTAGTTCAGCTCATATAAAGAAAGTGCTGCATTTGTCTGTTTTCTTCTTCATAGCCCCCAGAAAGACCTCTGTGAAGACAGAGAAAAAGACAATGCCTGTCTTGGGGGAAAAGACACCTGCACTGAAGAGCCATACTGAAGTCAACAACCATGAGTCCAATAGCTTTGCTGGCAAGTAAGTGATGGATGTCATTTAATAGTAGAAGGAGAGACTTTGTAACTTATTTGCTGTGTCCGCCAGCAGCTGTTGAAAGCAGAATTATGTGTAGGATCCATAAAAAATCTATGATCATTGGTATGGAAACACTTTATCAGTTATTGCTAAATCAGGGCAGTTGTTTCCAAAGAAAACCAGACATTGTGCTATAAGCACAGTAAGAGATTTTTATCCATAGAAGAGAGCTACAAAAACTTTATATACGCATATTGCTGTTCAAGGTTGTCTGAGACACACACACACACCCCCAATTACAATATGTGTAACCCCATTTAGCATGGACTGGATCCCTATTCCTTGTTCTGCCTTTTTGCTGATCAGGAACACCTCTGTCTTGTCTGGATTAAGTCTTGGTTTATTCACCCTCATACAGTCTATTACCCACACCAGACACTGGTCTAGAAAAGAAACAGCTTCCTCAGGTTTAGATGGAAAGAAGAGACAGAGTTTGATATTATCCGCCTACTGGTGACACTGAACCCCAAACCTGTGGACATCTTCTCCCAGTGGCCTTATGTAGATGTTAAATAGCATGGGGAATAAAACAGAACCCTGAGGGACACTATAAAGGCCAAGGCACTGAAGTCTTTCAGCACAACCTTCTGAGTTCTCCATTCCAGGAAGGACTGAAGCCACTGTAAAACAGTGCCTCAAAGTCCCATCCCAGAGAGATGGCACAGAAGGATACCATAATTGATGGTATCCAAAGCTGCTGAGAGGTCCAGCAGAACCAACAGAAGTTAACTATGTTTCTGCTGATTCCTAAAGAGACAATCCATCACACCCACCAGTTATGCTAACTTGTATTTCTTGTTACACAGACAAGGCATTAACATAGAGAGCAAACTATCCCAAGAGTCTCCTTGCCCTAGAAATCAGCTGAATTGTTGTTTGTAGCAATGTTTATTCCTTCATTTATTAATCAATGATTAGTAAATTTAACTTAGATTTATATTTGTTCCTTCTCCCACCTATGAAGGCTAACCTTTGCAAGAAGAGAAGATTGTGTTATTTTCTGCTGAGAAAATAGTTAGAAAATAGGAGTGCAACTTCAGCAAACAATGTAAATAGCATTTGTGGATCTAGATCAAGGGGAGCTAACCAATCCCAACCATTTCCTGGCTGCTTCTGGGACTTTATGCAGGTATTTTGGGTCTAGTCCACCTTATGCTTATAATATCCAGCCACAAATAAGATCCAGCGTGGTTCTTTTCATACTCTTTATTTTGACTAATTTTTATTTAGTTAGGTTTGTAAGTTCACAATTATTTATTTATTCTATTTATACCCCGCCTATCTGGTCATTACGACCACTCTTTCTTTGGTACTTTTTCTAAACGGAGGTTATAATCTTTGAACCACTTTTGGATTTTCAGGCCTTAGCACAGGCCTGAAATCATCATCATCATCATCATCTGAGAACTGCAGCGCTGGAAGAGTCCCTATGGATCATTTAGTCCAACCCCTGTCAAGGAGGCACAGTGGGGAACTGAACTCTCAACCTCTGGACTATAGCCATTCGCCTGTAATGAGCAAACATTGCCTTTTGGTAGGGAGATAATCCAAACTTAAAGATAAGCTTGGATTATTTTCATCACCATATGGCAATTGGGACTGATGTGCAACAGATCGCAATATGTGAATGACAGAAAGTTTTTTGTGTTTTGTTGTTGTTGTTAAAAACATGTAGACCACCAACTTTTCTGGGTTTATTTGCCAGGTTTCCTAAAGATGTACATGATTGTCTCCACTGAGCTGTTTGTTTATTTCCTGTTTTTGTAGTTCTCTCAAGCCATCTGTTAAACTTGAGCCGGCAGAGTACAACCCTGCAAAGAACAATTATCATCCAGTCCATGATGCATGCTGGGGTCCTGGTGAAAAGTGAGGAAGATGTGATTTTCCCTTTTTTTTTCCCAAATTATATCCCTCCTGTCATTCAAGGACACAGATGCAACGTCTCCGTGTTTTCACATCAATTTTATACCATAAACTTACAGTGGATCTGTAAAATAACAGATAATATATATGGGACAGACTATTTAGCCCAGCTGCTTCCTTAAGGCAAGAATCTGCATTTCATGTCTGTGGTACTTCCAGCATGTCAACAATATCTCTTTCTCCACACCAAAGCTGCTTTGCAACTCCTGTTCAGAGTTTAGGACTGTCTGTCACAGTCTCGGGCAATACTGAAGTCATGACTTTACAACTGCATTGTGGCGATGCTTTAGTTTAAATGGGGAGAAGAAGCCTAGAGTTCATTTATCTAACTTGTTTTTATCACTGGCCCCTTGATCTCTTGTGGCTCCATCCTTTGAGTGATGTTGATCATTATATACAAAGTGGGTGGACCTTTTTCCTGACTGTTCAATGTTGGGTTGGCTTTCTGAAGATCTTCCCACACTGTGAATTTATAACAGGATTCCAATAGCTGAACTTGTCTAGACCCACACAAATAATAAGCATGAGAAGGAGCCAGTGGACTCTCTTTTTTACCTCAGCTGATCCATGTTGTTTGGCTTTATGTCTCTGACAGGGTCCCATACCTTGCTGTGGCTCGTACCTTTGAAAGGATTGAAGAGGAATCTGCCCGGTAAGGTAACTTTAAAGATTCATCATGGTGAGGAATCGCAGTAGCACTCTCTCCTACGCACATAACCATTCAGTATCCATCTCTGTTTCCAGGTTGAAAATTATAGAGACCCTAAGCAATCTGTTCCGCTCTGTGGTTGCCCTGTCTCCAGAAGACCTGCTTTCCTGCGTCTACCTCTGTCTTAATCGATTAGGCCCAGCATACGAGGGCCTAGAGCTGGGTATTGGCAAAACCATCCTTATGAAAGCTTTGGCTCAAGCCACAGGTGAGTTGGACTAGTTACACCTACTACAGATTCAAATGCAGGGGTGCAGGAGTTGTCATCAATGACATAGATGTAATAACATATATAGGTTGGTTCCTGCCAACCTAGCAGTTCGAAAGCATGCAAATACAAGTAGACAAATAGGTACCACCACGGTGGGAAGGTAATGGCTTTCCGTGTTCAGTTGCGCTGGCCACGTGACCACTGAAACTGTCTTCGGACAAATGCTGGCTCTACGGATTGGAGACGGGGATGAGCACTGCGCCCTAGAGTTGGACATGACTGGACTAAATGTCAAGGGGAACCTTTACCAATATATAACATACACAACATATAAAATATGTTACCTGAAAAATGAAAGTGCCAGGAATTCATAAGAAGTGATTAAGACACACCTGACTTTAAGGTTTATAAAAGAGCAAAGATAAGGCCGTATGGTCTCCAAGATTACACAAATGTGGCCACTTGCAACTTGTATGGTTTTATGTGCATGTTCTGTGCTCTCAAGTCAGATGTGACTTATAGGGCCCCTTATAGGGCTTTCAAGGTAAGTGCTCTGTGCTCTCAAGTGACTTATAGGGTCCCTTATAGGGCTTTCAAGGTAAGTGAGATATTTAAGGACTAGCTTTACCAGTTCCACTCCCCCATTTGAGTTTCCATGGCCGAGCAGGGATTCAAATCCTCTTCTCCAAAGTCCTAGTCCATAACTCTATCCACTACACTATCACATTGTGGTGTATAGTTTTATAGTGGTCCAACATTGTGGTGTATAGTTTTATAGTGGTCCAATAGAAGGTATCACCCACCCTTACATTTGTGCTTTATGATGATATTTTCCTTTTTTCTGTCTCTTCTGTAGGTCGACAGCTGGACCAAATCAAGGCAGAGGCAGCAGAAAAGGGAGATCTTGGACTAGTCGCTGAGAGTAGCCGTACCACACAGGGCATCATGTTTGCCCCACCCAAGCTTGGGGCTGCTGCCGTCTTTAGCAAACTGCAGGCCATTGGGCGTATGATGGGAAGTTCTGTAAGTAATGGGCAAGAGGGCATGGAAATTCAAAAAACTGAATCAAGAGAGCTACGTTAGGGTTGTCAGGGGATAGGGCAAGTCTAAAGTCAGATGAGCCTAGTGGGTTTTTCCTCTGACTGTGCCTGTGTTAGCCTTGTCTCACGTTTGACACAACATGCTTGATATGATGGTTGCTGTAGGTTTTTGGGCTGTTTGGCCGTGTTCTTAAGGTTTTTCTTCGTAACGTTTCTGCACTGTCTGTGGCCGGCATCTCCAGAGGACAGAATTTAGAACTCTTGTGTTACTCTGTCTAGAGTTCTAACTCCTGTCCTCTGAAGATGCCAGCCACAGAGACTGCAGAAATGTTAGGAAGAAAAACCTTAAGAACACGGCCAGACAGCCCAAAAAGCCTGCAACGACCATCAGATCCCAGCCATGAAAGCAAACCATCAGTTCCCAGCCATGAAAGCATTTGAGAACACATGCATGCTTGATATTTTTCAAGATGATTTACCACTGCACATGAGTTTAACTGCCCTTAAACGTGGCTGCTTCTATAGCATACGCTCTGCAAGCAGAATCCAATGATGCCACTAATGGGGATGTCATGTCGCTAAGCAAAATTAGACTGTCTGGGACAGCACTGCACATTTTATCTTCCTGAAGTCCCCTGTAATGCCAGATGTCTGTGGGAAAGCCTTTGTTGTGAGATGGGTGTTGCAGGCTAGACTATTCTTCCTTCTCCTTAATCCTTCCATTTGTATCTCAAGCACCCCCTCTCATTTCTTTCCCTCTTCAGTCCATGAATAAGAAGATTGATATTATCAAGTCTCTGTTTGTTGCCTGTCGCCATTCAGAGGCTCGCTACATTGCACGGTGAGTTTGCCTTACTGTCATGTAGTGGCTGCATTTCCCCACTTCAACTCCCCATGTTTTATCATCTTTTTGCATATAGCTTCCTGTCCTGCTTGGTCCCAAAGAGCTCCTAAATGTATACTGTTATTTTTAGTCCTTCCACCCCTACCTTCCCCTTTTGTTGCTGCAGCTACACAGAATTTTGTTTTTCAGTCCCTACTCCTCATCTGCCTGCATCAAGCAAACACAGATTCATGCACACATAAAGTTATTTGGTAGCAGTCCACACCAACTTTGCAATGTTTCAGTGAGGTGTTTTGTGTATTTCAGGTCACTGGAAGGAAAGTTGCGAATTGGTTTAGCAGAGCAGTCGGTTCTGTCAGCCCTGGCCCAGGCAGGATCACTCACTCCTCCAGGGCAAAGTGAGTTCAGGATTCACTTAACGAATAACACTAGTGCTGGTTTAGGAGACACTTAGAGGCTGTACGGTTCTATGGCGCAACTAAGAAGGGCTCTGATGGCAACTTATTGCAGCATTTAGATGTTGTATTCTTTGGGGAGGGAGACTGTTATCCACAAGGCATGGTACTGCACATTTTGTAGTTGATCCAAATTAAATATTTATAAGCTTATTTCCACAATTAAGGATTCTAAAGAACATAGAATTTGAATGAGAGGAGAATACGTAAGAAGTGGAGGACAAGGAAATTAGGGTTGATCAGGTGTTGGCCAGAGAGGCAGTGAATGGTTGCCATAAAGAAGAGATGCAAAGCTATGTGAAAGCTTAAGCTGTGCTCAACCTCATTTTTGTTTGTGACCTCTTTCTAGATATTATTGATGTTTCCAAACTTCCTTCATATTTATCGCTTTCCCAAAAATGCCTGTTTTCTTTCAATAACAGGATCTGTTCTTGGCACAGTGATGTACTGTCGTTGAAATGAGCAACATAAAAAAAGTGTATATCATGGCCCCAATACTTTATATGTAAGCTGCCAACTATGCTGCATTTTCTACTTCTCTAGAATTTCCTCCAGAGGTACTAGATGCCGCAAAGGGCAAATCTGCAGAGGCACGCAAAGCCTGGTTAGATGAGAGAGCCTTGATTGTTAAGCAAGCCTTCTGGTAAGTAATTTCTGTTTCATGGAAGACTGGAGGGGGGCAAAGTTCAAGGACTGGCCCGATCACCACCTTGCATAAGGTTTCAGGTTCAGTCCCCAACATCTTTAGGTAGGGGTAGTCAAGACCCTTGCTTTTGAAATCCACAGCCACTTCTAATAATAATAATACTGGACTATATAGGTCAATATGGTGACTCATTATATGGTATATTCCTTTGTTTCTTTGCCCATAACCTTTTTTCCCATGGAAGGTAACATTTCTGGGTATGTTGCTCCTACTCACAGTCATAGCAATTAGACTTTGCGTGCAGTTTCTGCCTTCAGAGGCTGTAGTAGCTAAAATGCTAGGGAGCAATTGGTGTCTCGGGGAGATCAAGACAGATTGATTGATTGAATGAATACCATCCATCTAGTGGAGAACCACAACTCTAGGAAATTTTTGAAACATAAAAAGACCCCAATGCTGTCACTGTGGACCTTTTCTGGCAGAACGAGTCTCCATGGGGTATTAAGGAAGCTTCAGCAGTGTTGATCTCATTCTGCCTCACTTGTTCACGCCCACCATTTGTACAGTTTTATCTGTCAAGTGCAGCCCAGGCCATTTGGTACTTAAGGAGCCACCCCTGTGTGTTCTTATGGTAAGAAAATTGGAAAGTTGCTTTGAGTTTTTCCCCCAATGAGTCTTGCTGTCCAGAACCTGCATCCTGATAGAACGTCTTGCAAGAACAGAGAGTGAGTCGAGAGAACTAATATAGCCATAGTAGATAACACAGAAGGGGTCATTTCAAATGCAAAGTCTGAGCCTCTGAGCAAGAACACTCCACCACCACCCCCCCCCAAAAAATCAAGTTTTGGTATGTGCTTTCCAGTAGATGGCTTTAGGTCTTAGCCATTCTTGTTCATTTTGCTTTCAGCGAGCTGCCAAATTATGACATCATTGTGCCTGTGCTTCTAGAGCATGGCGTGGAGAGCTTGCCTCAACATTGCAAGATCACACCAGGTATCTGAAACATTTCTTGGGGGAAAAGGAAGGAGAGGGCATTTGATACAATAAGGAGTTTTGTTTTTGCTTAGACTCTTCAAACTATGTATCATGTATAATACTGCAAGTGTGAAACGGCATGAAGTATCATCCACTGCCAAAAACAGATTTGTGAAAATCTTATGTATTCATTTTAAAAATCAAACAATTAGGTTCTAATCTATATGTGTATATGCATTTTAAAATACAGATATTGTCTATAAAATACTTAATGATGACTGGATTCTATCTGGTTTAGCTATTGCTTTCCTTTAACCCTACATATTGGCTGATCTTTTCCTATGTATTTTATTTTTCCCTCATCATATTACTTTTTGCCAAAGAACCCAAGATTATGCAAATGTGCAGATAGATACTTCAGGATAATGCTTATAAGATATTACATGTTTATGCATAGTGAGCATATCCATATATATATTTATACATCTAAAATTATGTGCAAATATATTCATAGGCTAGTATGATGCAGCTTTTCCACCAAGAATGCCAAAACTCTTAGCTCAGATTGAAAATGGCATGTCATATTTGCAAGGAAAAATTGAGGAAGTATATGTTTCTTTTCCATTATTATCATATGTGATTTAAATACTACATTTTTCCCATTGGGAGTTACTGAGATATTATCTGTTCTCAACCTTGTGTACTTCCTTCCTCAGGGATCCCCTTGAAGCCCATGCTTGCTCATCCAACAAAGGGCATTGGGGAAGTATTAAAGCGTTTTGAAGAAGCAGCTTTCACTTGTGAATACAAGTATGATGGGGAGCGAGCCCAGGTAATTATGTGTGGTGCATACTCTGAAAATTAAGCTCCCATCCTCCTTGACTTCTGTAGCTCTAGCTCAATTTTTGTCTTCCTCATAGATTCATATCTTGGAGAATGGAGAAGTGCACATCTATAGCCGGAACCAAGAGAACAACACATCCAAGTATCCTGACATTGTCAGCCGTATCCCCAAGGTGAAGGGGCTTTTGGAATTCTAGGGTGTAGGGAGTGTATCCCAAAGAGAAAACAAAAGTGTGGTGATTTACTGGCACAGGGCAATTTGCAGCCTAGCTTCTACATAACAGTAGTGTTGAGCTTGACCCTGTGGACAATGGGAAGTGAAAAATAAGCTGAAATGTTTCACCGTTTTGCAGGTGAAAAAGACAACTGTGAACTCCTGCATCTTAGATGCAGAGGCTGTGGCTTGGGATCCTGATTCCAAACAGATCCAGCCATTCCAGGTACTAACCACTCGCAAGCGCAAGGTAAGCTGTTGTTCCTAAATTGTTTTCTAAAATTGTTGACGGAGACATTCATTTGCTCTGGTTCTCTGCTTTTGGGGCACAACACAATGAGATGGAATATTCTTAGCATATTGGTACAGGAGGATATTATGGGACTTTGAGAATAAGTGTATGTCTTATGAACACATTGTGGGACATGAAGGAAGGATATTGCCTCTCTGTAGATGGTTGTTGAACTGTGTAAATGATTTGTGAGGAAAATCAAAGTTTCCTCAGTTTTAAGGGTTTAGAAATCTCAACCCTTTTCTTCTTGTTTCTTAACTATTACTCCAGGATGTAGACGCCGCAGATATCAAAGTGCAAGTATGTGTGTATGCATTTGACATGCTCTATCTCAATGGGCAGGTAAGAATACCATTTATTTCAAACAACTGCATATCCTGTGTATTTTACTCTGCATATGGTTTAAGCTGCATTTGCCCTGCATTATCTGCTGCTGTTTTTTGCTACCTTGTTTTATCTCTTTCCATCCCACTGCTATCCTTCTGCTTTCCATGACTCCTAAATTTTCAATTATGTATCCTTCAGTCGCTGGTCCAGAAACCCTTGTCACAGCGTCGGACTTTACTGCGTGACTCCTTCATGGAGGTTGAAGGTCAGTTTCTCTTTGCTACCTCCATGGACACTAGTAACACGGATGAGATAGCAGAATTCCTCGAACGCTCCATCAAAGGTATTGTGGAGACAATAGCAAGTCTGTTTTGTTTCTCCTCTCTCCTTAACTATTTCTTATAAACCTTAGATATCCTTTCTGAGCCCTAGAATGAAACCCAATATGGTGTAGCTAAGAACATTTTTGGATTAATATCTGGGAAACCTGGACTCAAAATCTTGTTGAGCTATAAAACTTTACTGATAACCTTTTAGTTCCTCTTTGAGCCTTACAGAGCTGTTGTAAGAATAAAAACCAGGAATACCTGGTCTATCCCTCCCTAATTTTCATTATCCAAGGAGCAGGATAAATAACCTGATGAAGAGGCTGAACTAATCACAAGGTAGCTTGTTTCCTTCAGATTCCTGTGAAGGGCTAATGGTGAAAACACTAGAAGTGGATGCTACATATGAAATCGCAAAGAGGTCCCACAATTGGTTGAAGGTAAGAACGGAATGCTTGCAGGGCCACCTACCAAAAGAAAGTATTGTTAGAGCCCTACTGAGCAAAAGTAATAGTGGATCTTGTGTCTCTTTTTCAAACTGGCCATGCTGTCATTGAAGGGAGGAAGGCTGTTTATTTATTTTCCTGCTTGCTGATCAGTTTGAATACAGTGTCCACACCAACAGTAATAAGAAACAAAGAAGAAAATCAGTAATAAAAGCAATATGTTCCCTGAGATCAAATTTACTGAATTACTGAAAAGCCTGACAAATGCCTTTTGTGTAGGTACAAGTTCAGCTCGTGTTCCCAGGGATGAGTTACGTTCTTTAGTAACTGTGTTTCCCATACCAGCTAAAAAAAGATTATCTGGAGGGAGTTGGAGATACCCTGGACCTGGTGGTAATCGGCGCCTACCTGGGCAAGGGCAAGCGTGCAGGGACATACGGTGGTTTCCTCCTAGCCTGCTATGATGTGGAAAGTGAAGAGTTCCAGAGCATCTGCAAGGTAAGGTATGCCCAGTGACTCCACTGTTAGGGGCACTTGGACACTCAGCCCCTGTCCTAGAACTTAGGGAAATGTGCATGTTTGTGTAGCATCTAGTGCTCCCAACATACTGTATTTTTTCATGTATAAAACGACACCTTTTCCTAAAATAATTAGAGGAAGAAGTTGGGTGTCGTGAAGAAAGCAGTCGCGTGTGCACGGGGGTGCCTCTTGTTGCCTCCGCCTAATTGCCTCTTCCAAAGGTCACAGCTTGTCCCCTCTGGTGGCCCTGAAGCAGCAGCAGGAGGAGGCGAAGGATCCTTCACACGTACTCGGGCGCCTCTTACTGCTGCCTTCCCCGCCTCTAAAATAATTAGAGGAAGAAGTTGGGTGTCGTGAAGAAAGCAGTCGCGTGTGCACGGGGGTGCCTCTTGTTGCCTCCGCCTAATTGCCTCTTCCAAAGGTCACAGCTTGTCCCCTCTGGTGGCCCTGAAGCAGCAGCAGGAGGAGGCGAAGGATCCTTCACACGTACTCGGGCGCCTCTTACTGCTGCCTTCCCCGCCTGCCCGATCACGAGGAAGAAATTGGGTGTTGTGAAGAAAGCAGTCGCGCGTGCGCGGGGGTGCCTCTTGTTGCCGCCGGCTAATTGCCTCTTCCAGAGGTCACAGCTTGTCCCCTCTGGTGGTCCTGAAGCAGCAGCAGCAGGAGGAGGCGAAGGAGCCTTCACACGTACTCAGGCGCCTCTTACTGCTGCCTTCCCCGCCTGCCCGATCACCACCTCCACTGGGACTGACGGGCTCAGCTCACGTCGCCGCCTTGTCCCCTCTGGTGGTGGAGGTGGCAGAGGCAGAGGCAAACAAGCACTCAGGTGCCTCTTGCTGCTGCCACCGCCAGATCACCTCCTCCCACGATCTCCTTAGGGCAGAAGACAAGGCAGAGACGTGAGCGTGAGGTGAGCCCCGGCAGTCACACTGGAAGAGTTAATTGGGTGGGCAGCGGAGACAGCAGCAGCAGGAGGTGGAGGTGGAGGAGCAGTTGCCCATTAACTGCTCCTCCGCCTCCATCAAGGGTCAAAATTGGGGGGGGGGGCGTTTTATACATTGGGGGGTCATATACACGGTAAAATACAGTAATCAGAGCCTACAAAAGTAGAGGCTGCTGCAAGTGATGTCACTTTGTCCTGGCTGCAAGTTTTAAGAGACTGCCTGTGGAATAAAATGGTTGAGGCTTGCATTTTCCATACCATGTCCAACCTCAAGTGTTTGTCTGCACTGCAAGATAATAACAGTAATTTGATTTCTAACACTCATCCTTTCCCACTGTTGTTAGATTGGCACTGGATTCACAGATGAAGCTCTTGAGAAGCTCCATACCTCTCTCAAGGTAGGAGCTCGCCTCTGCTCTGATGAGGCATTCCTTTTTATGTCCTCTGCTAAGTACGGGGAAAAGACATGAGTGGTGCATGCTTTTGCTCCCACAATTCTCCCTTTAAATGGAGTTTCTGTGTATGGAGTTAAGGAGTAGCAAAAAGGGGAGAGAGAGGCATGTATGGAGTTAATAAGGAGTAGCAAAAAGGGGAGAGAGAGGCCATATTTTTTGGCTCTTGTCTTTTGTCCTATCCAATTACAGTACTTCAATTCTATACAAGACATTATTTTGGGCTCCTATGTTAGAAGGTTGAAGGGTGTCCTCTCCCTGAATAGCCAGATGAAAATAATGCCATCTGTAGGGAGCAATCAGGGTTATGCCATCAGTGGATGGATGAGTCCCAGCCATGCCAATACTGCAGCTCATCCCAGTCTCTATATTGCAGGACCATGTTATTCCACAGCCACGGCCATACTATCGGTGGGGTGGTATAGCAGAGCCTGACCACTGGCTGGAGGCCCAGCATGTCTGGGAAGTGAAGTGTGCGGATCTGTCAGTTTCTCCTGCCCACAAAGCGGCAACAGGATTGGTGAGTTATGGTGGCCAATGGAAGGGCTGTATGAATGAGTAGCATTCTCAACTAAAATATCTAGACAGTTATTCTCAGGACAGATATTTGGGGGTATTTCATATGCCAGCTTTTGTTTGTAAATAGTTAAAATATTTTCATTCATATGATATTGTTCTAATTATAGGTCCCATGTTGGGCTCAAAATGTGAGCTCCTATAACTATTCAGCAAAGATTTTGAGACCACCGTACAAAGTTCTTTGTAAACATAGATTCTGAGACACTGAAAAGACAGGTGATATTAAGAGGCTGCTAGTGGAAGAAAATTTTTGAACATGGTATGATGCACTGTTTTGCTTTGAAAAATGTGACAATGAAAATGCCCCAGGTTAATCACTGTATTCAGGGTACAAAATGTGCAATGCACAGAATTCTATTGATGTTTGCATAAAGTTTGCATAACTTGCCAGGGCTAATTAATGAGATGCCAGATTGTGTCTCAGGTCACATGCCCAGCATGCATACCAGTGGCAATCAGCCACAGCATGTTATGCAAACAAGTAGGATTCCAGCTACCACTAATTACAACAAAGATTGATCACACTATGTAAAATGAATGTGCCTCTGTGTCAGCATAAGTGTAGATAATTGGCTGCAGAGTTGCTGGAGTCGTTGGATCTGGCTGCAGTAAAGTCAAGATTCCCTTCATTATGTTCAAATTTTGAAGAATAGCTACTGTTGTCTGGCAGTAGCCAGTACTTAACTAATGTAGAGGAGACCATCACTGTTGATTGGTTCCAGACAGTACCATTAATGGTAATGGAAAAGCACTATGCTAAAGTTCTACCTAGATTATGCATTAGGAATGGGCATAGTCCCTCGTTATTAAAAATTATATGGGAGGCTCGTAGTCACTTTAGTCAGGTACCTTCTGTAATTTATGTACTAAGAATGCAGAATTGTTGTTGAATAAAATCTGGCAGCTTTTACAAGGTTGCTCTGTGACCACCACTGTCTTATTACAGCAACTTTTATTGCTACAGTTAGCATCATGTGCTGCCAAAATGGTGATGTGAATGCACGTGTAATCTTAATATATATGAACATGATGTGTATGTATGATTTTAATTGTTGTTTCAGCTTGTAAAACATGCAATTTTCATCTGTGGGCTAACATAAAACTTTGATTATGCTTCTAAGCGTGGCTTGCTTCTATAGGTAAAAGATTTGATTGTAACCTTTGGACAGACTTGTAAAAGGAAACCCTGAGCGTTTTTTTTTCCAGTTCTGGTGTGTTTTATGCATGATCCTCCTCTCATATTGCTTCACTGACAAGAGAACATGCATGTCTGCATACAGATCACAATACATTTTCCATCCATCCGTCCAAACTGGATACATATCTGAATTTGCCCCGAGAAGCCATTGCCTTGTGGATGGAAATGAATTATGAAAGCAAAAAAGCAAAGTGTGTTGCTTATATAGCTCCCCCTAGCACTTGAAAGAAAGCATTATCTAGGTGGTTTATAATTTATGTAGGCTACACATTGCTCCCCACCCCAGCAAGCTGGGTACTCAATTTACCATCCTCAGAAGAAGGGAAGGCTGAGTGAAGCTCAAGCTAGCTACATGGGATTGAACCTGGATTGTGAGCAGAGTTTTGGCTGCAGTATTGCAGTTTAACCACTGCACCATGAAGCATGGATTATCAGTAGATATGGGGGTATTAATACAAGAATACCCCCTTACAGGTGCTCCAAAGCTCATGATGGATTAGCTACTCATCTGCTTATGTGTGGAGAAGGTTGTAATTTCCTGTGCAACAGTAAATGAGGCACTAGACACCTTATCCCAGTTTTATGGACCTGTCCTTCCATTGCAGGTGGATGAAGACAAAGGTATCTCACTTCGTTTCCCCAGATTCCTGCGCATCAGAGATGATAAGAAACCAGAGGAGGCCACTTCTAGCACCCAGGTACAAAAATGGAGTGTGTGTATGGGACTGTAACAGGCAGAAATCTGGCAAGCACTGTGTGCTGAAAATGAAAACCCGAAGAGGGGACTCAAGTTATTTTAGAGGCTACAGACTATTGGCTTAGTTATGTTGGAACAGATACAGCTTGGGACATTAAGTATGGATATACAGGTATAGAAAGGTTGGCACTGTAAGTGGGCGTAGATATAAGAGCAAGGCAGCATATTGCAAGGTGCAGGGTTAAGCATAGTGATGAAAAGCAGTAGAGAAAGTGGTAATTTCTGTTTTATATATATACATTCTCTGATTGTAGGTGGCCGAGCTGTACTTCAAGCAGCAACAGATCCAGAATCAGCAGTCAATTGAAAAAGGAGATGATGATTTCTACTAATAACTCTGTGTGGGTGAAGGGTCTTTATTACTGGCTTCTCCCCTGGAATGAAACTAGAATCTCATGTCCTCTTTAAGGCTTGCATCTCATGAATCCATTCCAACCACTTTCTGGTGCTTGGGCGTGTCCTGAAACTGGATCCCGCTTTTCATTCTTGGCAGTAGATGATAATGCCTTGCAGTTAACATTGTTATTGGACGGCCCAAGTGAAGAGAAAGTGCTGGTCTATTAATAAACCTTGGCATTTTGTACTACTGTTGTTTTGGACACTTACCGTGGCCCATTCCTTTTGTACCAGGGTAAAAGGGCGTCATTATAATTGGTTGTCACCTTGATACATAGGCACTAAGACCAGCCTTTTTTTCAGGAACTCTCCAAGCCTAGTCTCAAGAACAAACAAAAAGAGAACTTAAGAAGGTTGGAGTCGGAAGACATTCATCTTCACTTCTCCCTAAGACCAAACTCACAGGTTCACTTCAGCAGGTGTTGAGCAGCTTTTCACCTGGGAGGTGGAAGGACATCCTTCTACCCCTGTACAAAAAGACCATGGCACAGTATGTGTCCACTGTTACCTTTTCCTACAGTGGCAGAAGAATGTCCTTACAATGGTGGGTCACTGATGATGTTGGATCAAGACCTCCCACAGCTCAGAGGGGTGAGATTTCCTACTGTGGAACAGCCTGTTGCAGAACCTTGTGTCCAAAAGGTGCCTCCATCGAGGCAACGAAGCTCAGCCTGTAATGCCTGACAGAGGAAGACTGGGCCTTCCAAATGACTGCTCTAGAAATATCCAGAATAGGGGCCCCAAACATTGCATAAGTAGATGCATTCCTAGTGAAGTGTGCCATAATGCCTCCTGGAATTACTCTGCCTTGAAATGGAGTAGCAGACAGCTATGCAGCCCTTGAGTTCTCCAGTCAAAGCTTGCTTAGAAACCCTTACCCACGTTTTTTGGCTAGAAGGAAACAAACATAATCAGGCAATCTGAAGTGTCTGATTCTTCTGAAGTGAATGTTAATTGCTCTTAGACCATCCAAAGAGTGTCACTCCTTTTCCAAACTGGAGTGAGGTTTTACCGTTAGGTCAAGGTTCTCCCATCAGCCTATCCTCCTCACCTTTCTCCCCCCTGTAGGAAAAGCACTGCTTTGACTTCTATTCACAGGATGACTCGCAGTGACTGTTTAAAACAAGTGTTTATTGGTGCATAATTTGAAAAAAAAGATAGCTCAAGAAAGAAGTACTGTGAAGTCTACATATAAAAAGGGAGTCTCTTGATATTATTTTTTTATTCCTGTTGTGGAGAGGCAGATATAGAAAAGGAAGGGAGAGTAGTACTACCCCTGACAAAGCCTATTCAAGAAATCTTACTACCAGAAGAGGTAATCTGGGGCCCTTCATATCTCATTAGTCAACAGCATCCTCCAAATGGAATCCATTCTGTTCTTTACCCTGACCTGCACAGAATCCATAAGCCCTACAATGCTGAATCCTTCTTACCTAATTCATTTATTGGGTCCTATCCTCCTAAGCATTATGCAAACTATGAATTTTCAGCATTTCTCAAACATTAATCCTACATGCTTGTTCCGTTCTTATCTGCATCCACTGTTCTCTTAGCTTTTCCTTTAGGATTTTCTTCTGAGGAATGAGGGAAGGTAAATGAGACCGGAAGGACAACTCCTTGCTTCTAGAGGGAGGTGCGCACGCGCTGACTTCGTGCCTTGTAAACTTCAATGAGCAGGTCCTTGACATACTGGATCTCTCTTTCAATAGATTCTGCTTTCTCTCGCAACTCACGATTGCGTGCCTCCAGGGCCTGGCACTCATCTCCCAGTGCTTCGTGTTCAGCCCGTTTACGCTGACGGTACCGCAGGGCTGCAGTCTTGTTCTGGTCTCGCTTCTTCTGGCGCCGGTCCCCCTTGGGTGGCCGTTGTACTGGGACATGGACTTCATTGGCTTGCAGGGGGAGCTCAGCAGGCGTCTCTCTGCCATAGAGCTCCAGCAACTCTAAGCAGCTTGAATCCAAGGTCTGCAGGGGAGCAGGGGTACTGTGGTGGTCCAGGGGTTGCAAAGCGTCACCAAAAGGAAAATGGAAATTTCCATCAGAGGGTGGGGTGCTGGGCGCTACCTGTTCTGGTGAGAGCGACTCCTCCAAAAAATAATCCTCCATCTGCTCCAACTCTTTCTTGAGCAGTGAAGCCATGGCCTCCAGGTCTGGAGCAGGAGGGGAGGGCAGTGACAGTGGCAAGGGCTCTCCTGACACACTCAGGAGCGTGGCCAGGTCTGTGCGCTCCGTCATCCAGTCAGAGAAGCCATCGCCTACAGAGCAATGGAGCAAGGTCAACAGTGGATATGCAAACAAGGAAACCTACAAAGCTTAACTAAGAGGCAGAATGTCAACTTCTATACATGAGGACAAGGTAGACTAGGAACCAGGATTTTTTTTCTGGCTTAGGCAGCATAACCCTGGGCCTTTGCTTTTATACGGAATGTTTTAGAGAAGTGCATGTGTCTGATAGGCACCAAAGCAAGTGGTTAAAATGTCTAAGATCCTTCTGAGCAACCAATTTCACCAAGGCAGAATTACAATTCACAAAATACTGTGATGGGACCCATCTGTTGTGATGGGAACCATGTGATCGATTGAGCGATCCTTGTTTCCTGGTCATTAGAATACTCACCAAATTTATTTATTTATTTAATTTATATGCTGATGTAGCTTCACATTATGTGCAGTCAAGCAGGTTTCTACCTATTATGAACTGGATGATCCTCACTGTTTGAAGGGTGGGCATCTTGTGGCCAGCCAGATGTTGTTGGATTGCAACTCCCACCATGTCCCAACATAGACTGTACTGATGTGTATTGCATCCAAATAACACTGAAGGCCCTCATATTGCCTGTCCATGCTCTAACATACCAGAGGACTAACCAGTCCTTGTTACTGGTTTTAAACAGTTGACAGCTGTTGATTTTCCATATTCCAAGCTGCTCTTTGTAAATATGATCTTATAAAGATTCCTAGAAATACAGATCCCTAAAATTAAGAGTTTACAAATCTTAGGTTTTGTTTTGTTTTGAATCCATGGGACAGAGTAAGGAATATGTAAGGAAAATATTAAAGGTGAAGAACTTAAATCTCATCAGCTGATACTCTGATTGTTAGTTTTCTGAATGAACAACTAAAATTCCATATAAATGGGTAGCTTGACCTTGAGAGAATGTTCTATCCTTTCCTTGTTCCATCAGGGGACTACTCTCCCACCCCGTACAGTGGTGCCTCGCTTAATGAGGATAATCCATTCTAGCAAAATCGCTGTAGAGCGAAATCCTCATGAAGCAAAATAAACAAATCCCATTGAAAACCCGTTCAATGTGTTCCAATGGGCTGAAAACTCACTGTCCAGCGAAGATTCTCCATAGGGCCACCATTTTCAGTGCCTGTAAAGGGAAGAATCCATCCAGAAACACAGTGGGGAGCCATTTTACACAGCAGGTGGCCATTTTAAAGCCACCAATCAGCTGTTTTAAAAACATTGTCTAGCAAAAAATCAGTTCCCGAAGCAGGGAACCGATCGTCGGGAAGTGAATCTTGCCTATTAAAACATCGTTTTGCAATCGCAAAACAGTCATCGTATAGCTGTTTCATCGTTTAATGAGGCAATCGTTAAGCGAGGCACCACTGTAGTTTTCTAGTACTTAACCCTTTTCCCATTTAGTTTATTCACCTGCCAATAGTGGCCGCTCCATACTGAGGACAAAACCCTCATCCACAGGTCCGGCTAGCAGCTCACAATGACCGGCTTGGAACGGCCGGTGCTTGAGCAGCTCCGGCCTGTAGGTCATCGTGCTAGCTGGGATCATGGTGAGGTCCAGGTCCATCGTCAGTGCTGCCAGCAGGGACATTGTAGGGATGATTACTCAGGTCCAGTGCAGGATTGGGATGCAGCAGGCAAGGAGTGGCTTGGCTCCTGCAGGCAGGGATAGTGGTGGGGGCAAAAGACCTGAAGCACAAAGAAACAGAAAGGCGTCATAAATTCATGCAGTTCTCTTTCCTTAAAAAGATCAGTACCAAATAAGTGGACATTTCCCGCATACTTTCAGCTACACTTGGATTGCCTTGTCTATCGTGTCCATGCCACTGGCCTAATTAAGCGCTCTGAAAAAGTGATTATCAACCAGTGCTACATGTTTCACAGGTGCAACAGGGAAGCAGGTTAGGTTAGCCACTAGTTTTTCATAATGCTTGCTAAGAATTCAACTTCTCTCAATGCCTATGTGCTCTTATAAGTATGACAGGCAGTCTTCTACCTGCCAGGGATTACTAGCAGCATCTGTGTAAACTGCTAGTAAATGGATACCCAGTGTTTCCTCTAATCTCCTGCATACCAGCTTATTCTGTGTGTGATACACAATGATCCCCCTTTCCAGGGGATCATTATCTGCTGATTCACTTACAAGTAGGGTCATGCGTAAGTTGAGACCCCACTGTATCTGCTGCCTGAAAATACAAAACCCAGAAATTTGTATTACCAGGGTGTACTTACCAAAATTGGCCACTAGAGGAGTCAGAGACCACGCAATGCATACTGTTCTACATTTTCTGGCATCCACAAGGGGGGACTTGGAGCCTATTCCCCCACAGATGTGGGGGTCTTACTGTATAGTAACAGAATCCTGTGAAGAAATCCTTCACAGAAAAAGTGAGCTTTTTGCTTCTTATGGTGGTAGTCATGTTCACAGTCAGTGACTGATGGAAGACATGACAGGTTGAGAACGATGGCCCTTTTAGCACCCTTCTCTCCATCACAGCTGACCCCTGCAAAAATATTACCCAAATGGACAGAGATGGGGGGGACGACATCTGCCCCCCCCAACCAGACAAATGGGTTTATCTTGCAGCCTTCCTCATGTTTGGGAATACAACTCCCATAAACTCAAACAGAATTATCAATAATTAGGATCTATGGTAGCTGTAGTCCCAACATCTGGAAACATCAGGTTGCTAAGCCATGTGGCACACAAGAGTACAAGCAGTGTCCCTTGGGGGCTGTAAAAGGAACTCCCCCCTGCAGCAACTTTGAGGGGAGGAGAGTAGCTACAGCGCCAGGAGAGTAGTGGAGGAGGAGGAGAGAGAAAGATGCCACTGCGCAGGAGCATCGGCTTCTCCCCGCGGGCTCACTTGGCGCACCTGCTGCCTTCTCTAAAGACCTGGAAAGAAAGGTGGAGCAGAGGAATCGGGAGGGAAAGGAGAAAAAGGGGTGCGGTTGCTACCCTACGCATGAACCCAAACAAACACTGAATACTCAGGTAGGCATCCCTCTCCCTTATTTTCCGTCCAGTCTCTCCCAAATCCTAGAATGCAAGAAATATGCCCAATCCCCACTGCCCGCAGGAAGAAACACACACCCACACAACCCGCAAGAGTCTACTCACTCCATCATGCTGGTTTTCTAGCAGCGTGCAAGACACGCTCGTTCACTTCGAGATCGGTGCAAGTCTACAAAGCCATCTCTCTGCTCTGGACAAGGATCGCTCTCCGGGTCTCAACGCGTCGTCTCCTACCTGGGTCGGAAAGCAAATGAGTCAGAGAGGGGTGGAGTCTCCCCATTTATATCCCGCCGGCCGCAGTGCAAAGCGCGCTGCATATCCATCCACCGGGCTTTGCTCCCCGCCTCGCGCACTCTTCCTAAAAAGGGGTTGGGGTGAAGGATCGCGCGCGTGGTGTGCCTCGGTCTCTTTACCTTCCCGAGCGTAGTACGAAAGGTGGTGGCTCCATCCATCTATCCGTCCGTCCATCTGTCTATCGCCCCATTAGTGCAATGCACTATTCTGGGCAGTTTGCAGCAAGTTAAAAACAGTATCATGATCCTCTATTCAATAAAAGCAGAGCGTTCTGTTTAATTCTTGAAAATAGTAGGGATTTACGGTTTGGTACCCCATCAACACCATCCGGAAGATTGAAAACTGCTGTGGTTAGTTAGTAAGGTAAAAAAACGCTTTGCACATCCTCAGAGGCAAGCTTGTGTTTTTAGATTATTATATGACATGATGTTCTGGGCGTACCTCTGTAAAGGCGGGCTTCGGATAAAAAGCAAAATCTATTTCTGACATAAGTGCAAAGGTTCTGCCCCGATATATGAGTATGTGAATTATATGTATACCTGTGCATTCTTGGGGGCAAAGCTTACACTGAGAACAAGATCCCTATCTAGTCTGAAGGTTTGCGAGCGGCTGCGTTGCTCAGCCACTGCGATTTCAGGACTATTTTATCAGGGCAGCGAGCAGGATACGGGCAGCAGCGGCGTCAGCAACGCGGCCGCGGCCGCCGGATTGCACCGGGGTTGCATCAGCTGTGGGGATTCCCGGGACACAGGAGGTGAACTCTCTGTGTTCCTTTGCTTGTCATTGGCTGCAGGGCAGCACACGTGATGCGGTGATTGGCATCCGGAGGAACCGCTGGTCCAAAGCGCAAGGCGGGGATCACGCTCGCCTCCAGCCATTGCCAGCAAATTTCCAGGTCCGTTGCTTTGGGGGTTCCCTTTTTTTGTTGGTGAGGCTCCCTCAAAACGAGGCAAGCTTCTTGTACTGCACAGACTGTGGAGGAATAACAATAACACAATAACACAAGTAATGCCAAGGTTCAAGACGAGGTGTTTCATTCCAAATCTAAAAAGCACAGTGGAATAATGCCGTTTCTGGGTGCCACAAAAATATCTTTCAAACAAGGAAGGAAAGAAGTGAATCTTCAGTACCTTTTAAAGGTTTAATCAGACAGGATGTTACACATTTGAGGAAGGGGATAAGTTCAAAAGTCATCCTGGCTAGATGTCATAGTTATAGGTGATATAGTTTCTTAAGATTCAAAATGGAGAATGCCAAGCTTTGAGCCAGTTTGAAGTCTGGTGTTTTCATTTTATACTTTATTTTATATACTGCCCCATTAGCGCAAAAGCACTATTCTGGGCAGATTAAAAACGAAACTAGACAAACAAAAACACTAACAGTATAGAAAACCCAGTGGCATTTACAAAAACAGCAGAACGGGAAATGAGCAAAATATTAACTCAGGTCAGTATGAAAGGCTTCCCTAAAAAGGAACACCTTATGTTTTCTTCTGATGGACAAGAGGAAGGGAGCCAGGCGTAGCTCTTCCAGAACCTGATTCCATAAAGTTGGAGCCACCACAGAGAAGACCCTGCTTCTAGTGGAAGACTCTTGGGCCTCCCTCGGGGTGGCCACATGGAGGACTCTGGTCTGGGAGGATCCGGTGGGTCAGGCACCTTAAATGATGTACCAGCATTTGCCAATATCAGGCTGCAGGTTTCTGAATGCTGAATTTGCATATTCTCATTTCAAATGATGACACTGGAAATTCAGTTTTTCCAGGTTTTGATGCAATGAATTTGGATGAGAGTTGTCTTTGAATATTGGATTTGGAATGAGAGAGTTCAGATTTTTTTTTGTTCTAAACTTAGGGCTTTTTAATCAAAAAATGCCTTGCTGAATTCTTAAATCTGCGTCATTTGTTAACCATCTGAAGTCTTGATACTTATCCTTCTCCCTCAACCTCAGCCAATATCATTTACATCTTTCCTTCCATTTATTAAATTCTTTATTTACTAATTCCCTTTAATCTGTTTTGCCTCTATAAAGATCACAAGAGCAGTTCAGATTAAGAATTGCACATCAGTTTGGTTTTGAAAGGGGCAAAAAGAATTATCTTTAGAAACTTTCAAGCAATCACATGAAAAGCTGAGCAATAAATAAATATTTGTGTTACTAAGTTATGTTAACCACTTGTCCCCATAAAATGCCTACAATAGATAACAATATTTTCTAAAACTGAGCTAAAGCACTGAAGTCTCTCTCTTATCTTTGTCCTTTTTGGAGGAACCTGTGTTCCCCAACAACTGGTTCTAACTGGTATAGAATGCTCCTGTCCATTATGTAATAGTGTAACATTCCAAAGAGCAAGGTTGTTATTAGTTGCTTTTATATGATGCTTCCCAAAGAAATCATGCATGGCTTTCCTCCTCTCCACTTTCTCCTCACAATAACTACTTATATTTCCCCTGCTGAGGAATTTTGAATTCAGATGGTGAATGCCTTGGAGAAAACTTGTCTTTTTACTGCTAAAAGTATGTAACAGGCCTGTTTGTATTTTCTGTGTACAGCAGCATCCATACTGTGTTTATTTAGGTTATTGATAAATCCAGTCACTTCTGGAACAGGTCCCACATTGGCCCTACATTGCTTTACGTGCCAGCAAGTCAGAATGGACCTACAATGACCCTAACATGGCTTTTAAAGTAAGTATGATGTTTAAGGAATAATTTTACTTGTGCCACTCAAACCACTGAGTTTCTGTGGTAGATTCAAACCCAGGTTTCCTGAGTCCAATTACACTATGCTGGGTAACCAGATTGGCCCTACGTAACAGGAAAACATCTCTTATTCCAGAACATTAATATCTTAATGCAGAATGACTAGGGGGAAACAGTGCTAATAATCCAGAGAATTTTAGCTCAAGCTCTAGAACTTTTTTTGAAATGCAAGAGGAAGAGTCAAAAGCGAAAATGCTAACCATCTTATCCTGCCACTATTTCTTGCAGTTTTCAAGCTGCATTTTCAGCACATATGATCAAAATTCCTTTAGACCCGGAACTTGTGACTTTGTGACTCTCCTAATACAAGGCTCAGTATAGAATACAGCTACTTTCAAACACCTGGATCATTGTGTGCAATGCAGTTTTTAAACAGAAAATGCAACTAATTGGCTGTGTGGGGGAGGGGCACAAGAGAGGACCAAGGTGAATGTGTATTATTTCTGAATTGTTTGTTCCATCGGCAACAGCAGTGAGATTTGCCTGAAAGGTCTCTCCAGGCTGCCTTGATCCAAACCAGTGCTTTGCACTGTAAGATGACCTTTGCTTCTTCAGCTGCATTCCTGGAGGTCAATAGCCGGGATAGGGCAAAGGTTGCCGCATGGAGCCAGCGAGGCAGAGGAAAGGCCTCTGGCCCCAGGATTACTTCAGTGTATATGTATTTTCTCTGTATTTTCACCAGCCATGAAGAGACCGCATGGAAACTGCTCATCAGGACCAGTAAAGAAAGGCCTTGCAAACTTGCCTACTCTCTACATTTGTTTTAATTACTGTTAGGTGCTTCACTGAACCATCATAAGAAAACAGGCTTGGGGACTGAGGAAAATGTGGTGCCAAATTCACCGTAAGGAAGAGATAGGAGAAGAGAGAGAGAAAAGGGGAGGATTGACAAATGGAGTGGGGGTGGTGTGCTAATGGGCTCGGTCAAAAGATGCACCAGAAATGTGCTTTTACTGCTGGGGGTGGGAATGAAGGAGCCACAGCCCCCCAGAAGCTGACCCAAAACATTTTTAGCACTTTCTTGAAAAGTGGCTTTTCCAAGGGCACTCCTGCCTTCAGACATCAGACAAACACGTGCGCACACACAGCTCAACACAAAGCTTGTTTTGCTCTTTTCATTCTGCACCAGTGCCACTTCCTCCATACGGAACCAGTAGTTCTTATCTAATACAGTCCACAGTGACAATTCATTTACGAATCCATCTTGGTTCAGTATCAAGTTTATCTCTCAGTTCCTACTGCTTTGTAAAATGTTGGCTACTGCCACTAACCAGCTGGGCTCTTAGAGCTGCTTTTCCCTGGCTGCTGTGAAAGAACACAAGGAGTGACATCAGTTTGTTTTCTTTATTTAAAATATTTTTACACCACCTTTCTCCTTAAAAGGACCCAAGAAAACAGGCCAAATGTACGGAGAATGGAAATCCTTCAAATGCAGTCATAAGGATGCAGTGATAAACAAGGCTGTTGACAAGGTTTTGGGTCTGCATCCCAAATCTGAGTCTGAGTATTTGGTACCAAGTCCCAAGGCAAAGTTCCTATTAAAAGTAGGCTTTTTTTCCCTAGAAAAAAGGGAGGGTGGTGGGTTTCAAGTGGCAAATTGAGTCCAAGTCACTGAGGGGAAAAAAAATAAACCCAAGTTGAGTACAATCCAGTCACTGGTGCAACTGAAGTCCAACTTGACAACAAGTCCTGCAACTGAAGTCCCCATCCCTGGTGATAAAACATTGCCTGCCTGAAGCTGAACATGAAAAAGAGGAGACTCTTCCCCATTCTGTTTAAATCTGATATTCTCCCTTTGTTTTTGTTGCAATGTTGTCAGGAATGTGATTTGTCAAAACAAAACATTTTAGAAATACTAAATGCTTTGCAAGAGCTTGATGTGTTTGTCAGTAAAGGCATTGTTGCCAAGCCGGAAGTGCCAAAGTGGAGAAGAGGAAAAGAAAGCAGGAGACGCAAGAGACAAGTAAATAAATAATAATAACAAGTCACTTGCAAATATCTAGTACTGTATTCTTCTACACATTCTAAGCCAACCTTGGAAGACACATAAGCTATGGATAGGAGTTGGTAGAACCAATGTGAACTGAAAATAGTTCTCTGTGTGTGCAGGGAGGAGCAGCAACTTCACACTAATGTTGGCATGCTCTTTGCCCCTCAACATTATGGACTGTGGAATATTTGATGTTAGCTGCTCCAAATACTGTACTCTTGATG